AAATCAACAAAAAGGCTGTCTCCAACTGGGACAAGAAGGCTGTGAAATCTACACCTCCAATTATAACTTTCATTTTAAAAGTATCTTAATTGCTGTATTTACTACAATTTTCCTTGAGTTGCCCCTAATCAAATGCTGATCTGCCTTCCCTGATACTCTGCACCAGTGATAATTAACACTGTTCTGCTAACTACTTGCTAAAGGAAGGTCATTAGCATTCTTGCTATTTAAGTAGCTCATTAGATCTAGTTTATCAACCTACTCACATAAAGTTGGGGAAGGGAGAAAAGTGAAGGGTGACAAGCGATAGGTTCATTAATAAAATCTTTCCAGGTAATATTAGGAGCAGCACAAAACCCCTGCAAAACAAAACAGAACAGCTCAGATTTGCTTACAACTAATTACAAGGTCACATGCTCAGACCTCTTTTTGAAAGGAGACTGTTCAAAGAGCAGATGCCTGTTCAGACACTGGTGATCTCTGCTGCCAGGCGAACCAGCACGCCTGGGCACCTCAAACCGCCGCAACGTTCAGGCGCGGGGTCTGCCCGCGATTCGGGTAATGCTGCCATTTGCGTAACTCAAGATGGACGGATGGGGAGAGCTTTTGCATGGTCTTCAGCGCACAGATGGGTGATCGGGGTCCCCCCTCTCACAGAGCCTAGTTGCCCGACCGTGCCATGCTGTCCTGACGCTGCTTGGCTGGTTGTGTCCCTCAGGTGAAACTGAAGAAGCAGCAGCCAAGGAGGTCAGGGCAGGTGGGAACCACCACCAGTGGGGTACAGGGAGAGCTTTTAGCCCATCAAAAGGTGCCGGTGGAGGAGAGCTGATCTCTGGCACGTTAAAACAGCATCTTCACGCACGTTGATGTTGCCAGGTGACAAGCAGATACAGACAGGTTTCAATCCCTAGACCTGATGGATGGTTGCACAGGGGAGATGAGAAAGAATTTAATAAAGCAGGAAGCTAACAGGAGAGTCAACAGCACCAGAGCAGCAAGGACAGCGTGTGCCCACAACAGCAATTTCCCTGGCACGTGTAGAGAGAGCAAAGCCTGCAGTAGGTGCCTGTTTCTCATCACAGCCAGGGCTAGAAGCAAGGCAAGGATGGAAGAGGAAAGCACTGCTTGCTCAGATAGGAAGCAAATGACAGACTTGGAGGAAGGAAAGGAAAAGTACCAAGGCACAGCCTCAGAAGAAAAAAATCACCACCTGTGCTCGGTTTTCCTGAAGCAAAAGAGTACGTCAGGGAGTGGAGGGAGACCGCTGTTTGTGTGAAGGAATAATGTAAACCCTGAGTGGGGAAGACAGGTTCATGCATGCATGTGCACAGATGAACACAGAAGTGCAGACTCACTGGCACTTCTTATAATTATTTAATTTTAAAGGGCAACATAGATATAACCAGAATTAATAATACAAAGAGCTGGAGCTATGATGCAGCCTGAGAAGAGTTAACTGTATTTCACATTCTGCTGCTAGCTACCTCCACTCAGCTTTTCGGAGTCTGAAATGCTGTCTAGGTATTAGGGCACAGGAAGAGCAGTTAGAAGACCCTTATCTGATACTCAACATGAGTGGTGAGATTTGGGGTATTTCTCTTAACTGTTCTGTGCTTCAGCAACTGTGTCTGCATAGCGGGACCTTTCAAAGATGGAAAAGTACTAGAGAGATTTGGGCATAATGCACTGAACAGGTGAAATTTCTTACTGACTACCTCAAGAATAAAGCACGGAGTTATACTCCAAGTTGCTAAACAGGAATTATTTAAACTCTGCAGGTTATCACAAAGGTCCTGAAAAAGTTGCAGTTATCTAGGAATAAAAACTGTCTCATCTAATGAAATACTGCAGCAATGCTTGTTCTTATTTGTGAATGATTAGGCAGCACTGATTTATAGTAATTGATCTCAGTGCTTGGCAGGTAGTAAAACCCTACGCAAATTACAGCTGCCACCCTAAAACTGCATTTGCATAACTTCTTTGTAAGTCAGTCTTAAGCCTTTTTACCATAACAAAAGTTATCAATATTTAAAGAGACATGAAAAATAACCACACATACATGCTTCCTTCCACTTAGCTTTTAAACACTAACATATATTTGGTGCTTTGGGTGATTATAAGCAACTGCATTGCAAGATTTGGAACTGGGGGAGATTATGGAAAAATCTGAGTCTGACCTTCAACTCTTATGGCACACCACAGAGCAAGGGAGCAATCGCACACGTGAGGCTGCAGCTGTTAAGTAGCTTCTACGTTCCACATGAGGATTATAAGATCAATACAACATTTATTGGTATCCAGCGAACAGAGACAACTGCCTGCGACAGCTTAGTCCTACAAGGACACGGGTATCTGATTCTTTATTAAGAGCACTGCTAGAGGGAATCTCGCTATGAACTCACCAAAGCTATGTAAGATTCCAGCCACATTTGATCAAAACTCTCCTCATTTAATGAGGGAGCTTCAGGCGGATTTTGTAAGCAGTCAGAAGAAATGGCAGATCTTCAGGATCTCACATGAATCCTGAGCGATCAGGAGGCTGAGTTTCACCGATTCTGAGCGTGCCTGTTCCTGCAGTTCATTTGATTTATCCTGCCTTCTGCCGCTCTCTTTCAAGACCTACACCCTGCTCTTGGTCTGCTTCATGGTAACTCTGGAGTAACAGCAGTGTGAGTTGATGTCCTCAGGCTGGGGATTCCCAGAAGGACTATGGGAATTGGGTTCCCAAATTTCCCTTAAAGCCAACAGGAGTAGGTTGCTTAGCTCCCACAGACTGCCTTGAAAATCCTAGTCATAATCCAAGCCACTCCTGTAACCTGTCCGAGTGAGATTTCAATCCTGCGTGACGGTCTCCATCCTACCGTGCAGCTGGACAATTCCAATGACAAACACCTGCAGTTTTTAACAAGTTGATTGCTTGTCTTGGCTCTGGTGGAGAAGTTGGCTGTTGGTCCTTTCACTTTAAATAGTATTTGTTTTTCTGTTATGTGAAAACTGCAGTTGACCTTTCAGTCATTGTAGCACAGGGAGCATGAGTCAGCCACGCCAGTCCAGAGGCTACAGAAATGGATGCTCGTGCCTTCTATGACATGAGTACTTTGCTCCCGCTCTCCTGCCACAGAGCCTTGTACTTGAGTAGTCTCCTCCCGAATGAGAGCTGCCCAACAAGTACAGCATTAGAAAAGAGTAATTCAAAATCATAATTAATATTTTCCCAGTCTAAAGAAAGCCTAAGGCAGCTATTAAATTGGGGTTAAGCATATTTCAGGCAGGCATCCTTAAGTAACTCACAACTTGCTTGATCTCTGAATACCAGAAGGGCAAGGCACATTATTTTCTACCACCAAAGTCCTTTTTTTTAAAATCTGTGACACTAAAGAGCCCTAGGCAACTTTCAAGATTAATTGCAATCCTTCAGGGTCCTCACCATTCCTCCCGGACATCCCTCTTATGTAAGAAAAAGAATGAACATGCAGCAGAGTCACCTGAGACAGCCTCACCTGCATCTCAGACCCTGCCTCTCATCGCTGGCACCTGCCTTCAAAGCACCCTGCCCTGCTTACTTCATTCTCCTGCTTGACATTCCCCATGTCACCTGCCCTGCACAAAGCAGTCTCTTCCAGTGATTCCTTTGCTCTTGCCACTTTCAAATAATTTCTAAAATAAGATCATTTCTCCCTGGGTGCCCAGAACACTGAAGTAAATAAAGAGTAAGCCAAATTATACATATTTAATTTCTTGAGGCATTTCTCATTTCTTTGGTCCGTTCAGCCTTATCTCTATCTGTCTCTTCATGTATGCTTCAGAGGGCTACAGAGCAACGATATCATTTTTGGGAGCTGGCATTCAAGAGTAA